GCAACGGGAATCTTGTACTGTGGCTGTTACCCTCTTCGTCAACGAAAAATACCTACAAAAAAAGGTGTGTTTTCACGTGCAATCATTTGTCCGGACTGCCCAGCGGCATCGTTGGCAAAGGCTAGGCAAGGCGTACAATGTACTAGCAATGCCATTTTGCTTTGGTTATCTATATCAGTCTGCTTCTTTTTCTATTTTCTTCAGAAAGTGGTGGTACTCGATGGCAGTTTATGATAGGCTTTAAGAAAAAAAAGTTGAGTATGCCGAAGTGCATGGCAACCTGGCCGCACAACGCGAATTCGCTGCATCGAAGAAAAGCATCCGATACTGGAGGAGCCAAAAGCAACACATCACATTGTGGGGGAGTACGTGCGCCCAGCCTCCCTTTCCCTCTTAGGTCTCTTAGGTACGAGTCAATAAAGCCTCCTGCAAGGGATGGAATGCCCCCGCGGTTAGCGCTCGCGATTCCCCCTTTCCCGCCACACAGAACGGGTTTCACTCCCTCAGCGAAGGAATAAACCCTCGTCAGGGAGAAGAAAACCACCCGCTCTCTCTGACACCGGCCTAGGGAGTAGGAGGTCGAACCCGCAACCCCCTGCAAGCCGAGGACGACAACGACCAAGGAGTAAGCGTCTACCTTTGTTTTCTGTTGTATCTCTTCGCGACATTTATGCATTGTGGCTAACGTATAGCAATAAAGTGTGTTGTCCTAGCCTGTTGTCTTATTCGCCTGAACCCGTGTAGTTTCAATGAGACAAGCTACGGATATAGGGGACGCTAATCGTGCACAGTATGACTGTATGGGGCTGCAGCATTAGCTATAAGCTTCTGCGTCATCCGTACATAGGACGAACCCCCTATAACAACCTGCAGCAACCAAACAAAAATTTTTCGTTTCGTGGACAGACTGCAGTGCACCCCAAACTGGAAACGCTATTCGCCAAATTTGTTCGGTAGCTGTGTGCAAGGTTGCTACGGGTCTATCGAAATAGCGCGCGACTCTGGGCTCACGAGGGCACAATTCAAGGGCTCTTCATTGTGGGTTTGCTGATTTATCAAATGGAAGGGCTTTGCGCTGAGGTGGCGTACCTTCATGTGCGAAAAACTGCCCAACGATTTCGATAACAAGCTGGTGGACTATCTGCGCTATGTCATTGGTCTTCATCGACAGCATTGCTACATGACGGGACACATGGGTAACGCTTCCAAAACTCCGATCTGGTTCAATAGGTCCGTGCCGTTCGATATGCCTTCGAACAGGACTGTGATCACTAAAGGATCCAAGCAAGTGAAGCTCTTGTCAACGAGCAACAGGCATTTATGATTGTGGGGATCTGAGGCGTGCCCGCGACCATTTCGCGGGCATTCCACCGCACGGCCACACCTTTTTGCTCTTTCTGCTCTGGTAACGGCACGTGGCAATAGATGGCGCGACGTGCGGGCGCGGCACGTGTTGCGTGTGCGCCGAGGGAGCTGGCTTTCTCTCCTCCGTGGTCCGCACCGGGTAAGCATGTGTTTTTCTTCGTCTGCGTCCCCTTTGGGAATCGCCGGACTGTAGCCTGCCTGGGGTGGCCTTGGGGACATAAACAAGGCGTACCAGGCTCCACTAGAGAATTCTGCGCTCCAAGGGAACAGGATAATGGACATTGGTATTCTTTCTTCAGTGTTTTCATCGCTGGCATGTTCCGAATGCGTGAACACAACACTGAAGCTCGAGGAACGCTCGCACCAAGGGCTCAGCTTGTGCGGTCGTGTGTACAGACTGTGGGTTCAAGCGCCCATTTCATACGTCGAGAAAGGTGGGTTGTGCCAGTGAGAACAATTTACGTCTGGTTTATGCGATGCGCCAGTTAGGAAAAGGGCACGCTGGTGCGAAAACTTTTTCCAAAGTGATGAACATGCCTGCTCCTCCACGTCACTTCGCCTACGACAAATTGTCATCACGGCTTTCTGCAGCGGCAGGAGAAGTGGCGGCGAAGTCGATCACTGATGCTGCTGTGGAAGTTAGTCGTGTTGTGGGGAGTGCCGAGTGTGGTGTTTCAGGTGATGGCACGTAGCAGAAGCGTGGCCATTCATCTTTGAACGGTTGTGTGTCTGTGATTTCTGTTGACACGGGAAAGGTTATTCATGTTGAGGCCCTTTCTAGTTCGTGTAAGTCTTGTAAAACCAAAAGCAAGTTGAGGCAAGATAGTGCTTCGTACCAGGAATGGAAGGCAAACCGCATTTCCTGTCAAGGAAACCATGAGGGAAGTGCTGGCAGTATGGAGACGGTTGGTCTATACCGAATATTTGAAAGGTCGAAAGGCAAAAGATATTTGAAGTACCTGCAGTACTACGGCACTCCCCAGCAAGAGCGTGTTGGCTGCTGCCTCAAAAAACTGAAGAAGACAGTGTGTGGACTCGGTGGTAAGGGAAATCTCACTGATGCCCTCATTAACCGCCTGCAAAACTACTATGGCATCGCCATAAGGGCTAATGAGGGCAACCTTTCTGCAATGAAAAAGGCTACCCTTGCCAGTCTTTTTCATTGCAGCTCTACCGACAAGCAGCCGAGACACGGCCTGTGTCCTTGGACCGAAAAGCTGGTGCGGATACCAAAGGGTCGAAGCACTCGGCCAAGGGCAATATGTACACAAAGGAGGACTTCCAAATGGTGTGCTCAACCAAGTTAAAACTGTCTACAGTGATCTGTGCTCTGATGAACTTCTAATGAAGTGCCTTCATGAAAGACTCGAAATGCTAATGAGTGTTTCTATGGTCTAATATGGCAGCGGGCACCCAGTGAGGTCTACCTAAGCTTGCGTACAGTAATGTTTGCCTTGCATGATGCTGTGGCACACTATAATAATGGCAGTGTAAGTACCCTAGATATCCTGAGGCAAGCTGGCATAGAACCAGGGTACCACACAACAAAAGCTTTCATCGCCAGGTATCACTTGCGCATGCAGAATGCTAAACGCAAGTCAGCGGATGGGATAAAATAGGCCAGGAAGAAAAGACGAGCAGCCACCCAAACAAAAGGAGACAATTATACTTCCGCAGAAGGGCCCAGCTATGAATCTGGTGCATTTTAGGCCTGCATGCGAAGATTGTGACCCTTTTTACAAGCTTGGAAATCATTGTTTACGTTTTTCTGAAAATAGCGATTTGCTCCAAATGTTGCGCCGCAAACTTTCATAACGTATTTCTCAGCATATACTTTGAACTGAAGTTTTGCACATTTTGCACAATGATTTACAACATATACTATATCTGGGCAGTGAACTAGAATAAAAGAAATAAATCGAATATTTTTCAGTTCACAGCTGAATTCTCCAACAGGTTCAGTCTAAATTGGCTCTTTTTCCCCGTTTTTTGGTTTTTTTAGCATTACTTCCTTTATATTCACTGCATAATATTTATTCTAGTTCACTGCATAGCTCCAGTCATTAGTTTTACAAATGTCAAAGCTTTACTGAATAAAGCCACCCATTAGTCACTTATCGTAGCTGGCCTGGCTAGAACTTTTAATGCAATTTTTGACAAAGATTACCTCCCAATAAATAAATATTTGATATTTTACACTGTATATAGCTGGGTAAATTAAATAAGACATGCTAGTTTTGAGGAAAAAGTTATTTCAACGCTGCCTGCCCTTAAAAAAATTTTTGTTTTTGAGTGGCCTACCATCTTAAGTGGATCCGGCTCGTGTGGAAGCGGTGACCCGGTGCCTTTGTTCAGCAACTGAGGATGTTGGTGATCGACTCATGTGGAGGCCACCTCACGGCCGGTGTAAAGGATGGCAAGGCAAACCTTGGCGTGATCTCTGGTGGACTAACATCAATACTCCAGCCAGTAAACGTAGTGCTCAATAACACCTTCAAAGATCACATGCGCGAGCTCAAGATGCTGGGTGACAATCCCGAGATCCCTGCTGGCCACCTACGACGTCCACTGCTCGCGATTGTTTGTGGCTGGGTGTTGTCAGCTTGGAAATCTTTCCCGGAAGAGATTGTGTACAAGTTCTTTCTCAAATGCTAATGCTGCATCAGCAACGCATTGGATGGAACGGAAGACAATGCACTCTGGGACGTAAATATAGTGAGAAACAGAAGTCATTGGACTCAAGTTTGGACAAGCCTGAGTGACAGCACTTTGTGGCCTTGCAGGGCAGCTGGTTGTGTTGTGTATTAATCAAGGTAAGGGTGAGCCGCGATACTTTGCAATTAAGAAAATTTCTTTTTCAGAGAACAAAAGTTGCGGGATCAACCTTTATTTCAATTTTTATGGTAATACTACGCACCAATTCTTCCTATCTTAAGTTTCAAAGCTTTTTATGCCAGCTTATGTGCTATTAGTATAGGAAATTTTAAAATGTAACATATTTAACAGGTTATCACTTGCATTCTAGCATAAGTAAAATCCTGCTACTATTTGAAGTTGCTTCAACTTCCTTTGAGCCAAAAAGAATGATATTTGCTCAAAGGATTGTTTCAACAACAACAAAAGATACTGTGTAGGTTAGTTAGCTCATTACAAATATTCTCATTTTTCTTCATAGTGTACTGTTCAAATTCAATTCGAAATTACTCTAACCAAATCACTTTTCGCTTTGGGCCTAAAATGCACTATTCTCACAAGCCTAGTTATCACTTCACCTATGTATGCCATCTTATGGGTGCTGAAATTTCAAAAGGCTTTGGCGGTATGTTGTCGATTCCAAGCGTGGTCTTTAAATGCAGCAAGTTTTCGTTAAACTGAACTTGAAGAAACCAGAAAAACGTGCTTTATTTAACAGAGCTTCCGTTGCTTACCAAGAGATGAACAGGCGTGGGGAATGAAAGTATGAAACCAATCATATTGGACTCGGTAGTTTTATTTAAGCCGAAGTTCCATTTCGGAGACTTCCGTTTACGGAGAGCCTACTGCATACGTCTGTCATAAATGATCTATCACTCTTGTTGTTTTACGAGAACTGCCGCTTCATATCTGTCCTCGGTTCACTTTCTCCGTGCAGAGCTAGGGAGAATTACGAGGAGTCCGAGTGGTGTTCCATGGCACAGCTCGAAGTTCAGCTCAAGGACATCGAGGCACAGCTGGACTCACAGTTTGGCGAGGAAAACAATGCACAAACTAGTGGTGCCACGGAGCAACCAGAAGGTGAGCACAACTTCGAAAAGCAACGACGAAGGGATGAGAATCAATGAGCTTTAAGGCGTAGAATTTTTTACATTATAGATCAGAGGGAAACGTATTACTGTTGGGTGTGTGTTTCCAGTTGCCCTTTCCTTCTTCTGCGTTTGGGTTGCCATAGAAGGTTTTTCTCATGTATATATTCTGGTTCCTTTCAATAACCATTCAGATCACTGTCAGTGCACGTCCTCGTGTGCTGCTTTTGCTTTGTACCTCATATATGCACTTTTTTTTCATTCTTTAATTGAAAGTACTCCATCAATGCAAATAGATTTGCCTCTGAACATAAGAACTTTTCCTTTGTTCAGAGAATGGAGTTGACTCTGCAACTGATGACTCGGAGGATGAAGACCCAGACGAACTGTACTGCGTGGCCTGTGACAAGTGCTTCAAATCTGACAAAGCGTGAGCACTGCATTTAGTTCTTTCTATGGCATCACATAATATTGCGGAATGTGCTCCGTGCCATCCTTTGGACTTATTTTTCAGCTCCCAAATTTAAACATGCTTGTCGTGCTTTACCCCAGTTGGTTTGTCCACAGCTGGGGTGGGTTACTTTTTCTAGCAGAACATTATTAATTTGTATGAAGCTGTTACTGCGGGGGCCACAAGGTAAAGCTGAGGAGGGGGGGTAGCTTTGCTGGAAAAGAGGGAATTGACACAAATGTCAGAAACTAAAGTTAGTGAATAGAAATCATGTTTGTTTATTTTCAGCACGAATGTCACAAAGTTGCAATTTACAGCCATAAGTAGCCAGCATTAAACCCATTGAAGGTGAAAACTGCCATGTGGGCCTTCGGAAAAAGAGTAACGAAGAAAAGGGGAGGGTTTCTGGCATCATGCAAAAGGGCGCATGTGTCCCACGGGCAGGTCGCACACTGTCGACTCATGGTCTACAGGATTTTTAGGTATCCCATATTTCTTGCTGCATCTGACTGGTTATTTTCATAAACAAAGGCTCAAAATTTTTGCCTTCTTGAGGGCAGGTGCATAAGGTTAAAATAGGTGGCATGTTTTCATTAAGAGTCGTGGCGATGTGACAGCTGTTTTCTGTCACGTGAAAACGTGGCAGGACTCAGTCCAGGTACCACTGATGTAAGTGCAACTGCTTTCCCTTTCATCTCTATGCAGATTTACTTGAAGACTAAATCGATTCATTTCATTTGGGATAACTCTCTGCTAAGTTGAGTAGTTTTCTTCACTTAGTTCACACGGATTCATTCAGGTTTTCTTCATACTGTCATGATTCTATGAGCTCTGTGACTACTATTTTGCTAATTATAATTAGAAGGGAAGCAATGCAATGTTGTCAGGATATTCTAACATTTATCACAACTGTTGTGCTGTACTTTTGTATATAGTCTGTGAACGCACCATCATTTCAGAGGGCACCTGCAAAATCACTTTTCATTTTAATAACACTTTCATAGACTAAAATGGTCTCTGGAATTCCTTCATATCTATAACACACGGACCTGCTGAATGCTATTCACCTCGGAGATATGTGGACATGACTTCAACACGGTCTCACTCAAAATTCTTCCTGCTGCCCTGCTGTCGTAATCTAGTGGCTGTGGCACTCGACTGTTAACCCAAAGGTCATGGGATCAAATCCGGGCTGCAGTGGCTGCATTTTCAATGGATGCAAAAATTTTTTCGGCCTGTGTACTTTGTGCGCACGTTAAAGAACGCCGCGTAGTTCAAATTTCTTGTGCCGTCCACTACGGCATCTTTCATAATTATATCGTGGCTTTGGGATGCTAGATCGCAGCATACCCATGGAGTGAATGATGATGAGTGGGGCGAAGCTTCGGAGGTTTCTATCGGTAAGCCGTGAATCGTCCGTCCGCTGGCCGTGTCCGTCCACCTGTCTGTCTGTCCGTCCGTCTGTCTGCGTGTCCGTTTGTCTGTCTGTCCATTTGTCCTTCTAGTGAACACCCCAAGTACTGCCATCTCGCATCTTTTCATCATATATTCATCTTGTACTAGTTCTGCCATCTAGCGGACATTCCAAGAACTTAGCGAGAGGTGGCTACCTACTACAGTCGAATCTCGATAATTTGAACTCGAAGGGGCCCAAAGATTTGTTCGAATTAAAGGAAGTTCGAATTAATGAAAGCTAAATAAACAGAGGGCTCGCCATGCAGTGGCGCTGTGCATTGAGCTAACACACGAGAAGGAAGTTTCAGAAAACTTACATTTATTCACAAAGCACGGGGCATCCGTTATTAATTGAAGTAATCGGTGATGCACGTCTGCACACGTTTGCCTTGCAGTGAGTCAATCAATTTCGCATGCAGCTTGCAAAGCATTTCTACTTCGGCTTCAGCATTCTCCTGAGGCAAGAGAAGTTGCGGGTGGAAGTGTCCAGCGCCGACACTTTTTAAAAACGACTGCGTAGTAGCCTCAGCATGGCCAGCAGGTGACGAGAAAGGAGGAGTGTCTCCACGCGGAGAGAAGTTGAGCGCCGTGCTCCCTTACGGGCTGCGGAAATTAGGCGTCTTTTCTTTCCTCTAATCACAACCACCTCCACTTGAGAAAAAAACCAACACTCCGCGGCAGTTTTTTTTTTTGCTCTCTTCGTGGGTGTCGAAAAGAGAAGGGTTACGCGGCAGGGACGGGAAAGGGGAAAGCCTGGCACCGGTGCTTGAGAAACCCCCCTCCCACCTCAAGGCGCAGAGCGGTGCTCCCGCATAGCCGTGCTTTTTTCCTTTCCTTCAACCATACATTCATTCAACCCAGTAACAGCTTTCTTTTTTTCTTTTCCTCTCTGTCTTCGCGTGCGGCGTTGGAAGGAGAAGGGTCTTTACGTGGCAGGAGAAGCGTGACACGGGCGTGTCGCAGATCGGCATTTGAGAGAGAGCAAACATTCGATTGCAGCCTTGTCTTTCCCTTTCATTTCTTTCGCGCGCAGCGTTGAGGTGTCGCAGATGCCGCCGTCGGATTGGTCGGGGTGCTGAGAGCATTTTCGGACCGCGGTATGTTCGAATTAGCCGTCGCGAATGCTTGCACGTTCGAATTACCGGGCGTTTTCGCCCATTTGGATACACATAGCTTTGACGGGACCTCATTGTGAGTTCAAATTAACTGGAAATTCGAATTAATTGTGTTCAATTTAATGAGATTCGACTGTACATTCATCGACGACGCACAACCCACAGCTTAAGGAGCTGTGAGTCACCAAAAAAATTACCGTTCTCCCTGTTCATCAATGGTACACATGTCCTTACACTCATAATGTTACTGAATCGAAGAGTTATCAGTGGAAGTTACTGCATGCATTTCTTCAGATAGCTCGTACGACAACGAATACAGTTTGCTGAGTTTTGAGAAGCACCACACAAAAGTGTCAGAACCCGTTAATATCCGCCAGCTATTTATTTTCGAGTACCATATGCCTTTATTCAGTCGACCTGTACAACTTGCGTGTTGAATTACTGCTTCAGTGTCTTGTCCAGCACTACAGCGGCAAAGAAAAAAAAGCATTGAGGGATGGTACATTCCGTTCAAAAAACACATTCGTATCCTTCTTTCATATATGCAGTACAACTTTTAAAACAAACGCAAGCAATGCAAATTTTTCTCATGTTTTGTAGCCTTTCCTGCTATACCGGCTGTCTCAAAAAATGTGACCAAGATTTTCAAAATTCAGGGAAAATGCGATTTTCTCGACACCTTGACAAATATCTTTTTTTGTATGCAACGGGCATCTCAAGATTGGTAAAGGCATCATTTGGGACATAAATAAGGAACTTAGTTTAATAACTCTTTAATAAGTGTAGTTTGGCAATTATGGCAAATGGGAACATTGAAGTCCTTCATGGGGAGAACCGATTGCAGCTTTAAGATAAAAAAAAAGTGGCCTATAGTAATAACTGCAAAGTAATGAAGTTTACGTATTTATGTGGCTAAACTGAAACCTAAATGTGGAAAAGCCTTACTGCTGTATTCTTCTAAGATATCTATAATTAGTAATTATTATTATTCCAGCCATCGAGCAACTTCCTTATGTGGATGGGTGGGATGTGCTTGCAAGCACTATAGCACGCATCATGTGTGTATGTTAATAACTGTGAAAGAACTACACATCTGTTGATCGCTATCTTGAAAAGTCATATTACTCTCACCGTCTTCTAGTTTGCTGATGAGTACTTCAATTCTAGTTTCACCATTGAATTTCGTTGTAGTTCATTACATTACTGGAGGCCGTCTTTTTTATATCTCAAAGCTAGAACGGTTTCTTCACATGAAGAACTTCAATTCTCCTATTTGGCACTAATGCCTAATCCCACCAATTAAAAAGAATCAAATTTCATTGATTAATGTCCCAAATGATTTTTTAGCCATCTTACAAGCTACAGAAGTAGTATTTCTATAGGTGTAGACGAAATATCTCATTTCTTTGTTTTATGACAATTTAGGGCACATTTCTCGAAACACCCTGTATATAAAACAAAATAAGGAAGCCATATAAACGTCGAGTTTGAGCATATTGAACATTATCGTGTAGGGTTCCACATGGCGCACGATATACAGAAAGGGGTCTCGCAACTGTTCGCAACACAAATTATGGTCAGTGGTCTATGAAATTATGAAGTTTACGTGATTTGATGCCAAGGTTCGTGAGACTTAACTTAAAGCAAGAGGAAGTTTTGGAGGAAATAGTCATGCATTAATTTGACTTATTGCATTACAGTCAGTAATGCTGGTAATGTGCTTCTTCATAAGCCGATTGCAATGAGCCACTCAAAGTTACTAAGTATCTGCTAGCAACGAGAATTCCTAAAAAGGTCATAAATAAAAAGGTGACAATATATTGAAAATTTTGTAGAAACACCCCACATCTAAGGTCCTGGTAAACATAGGACTGCTTTCACCAAAATGATTGTGTGCAGCAAGATATTTCAACCAGAAGTGATATCAAGGTAGCTTATGTAATAGCAATGCTTGCTTTACCATTAGCCCAGTGTTTGTGGCCTCTCTCTTGTTGATAGTGCACAGAAATGGCAAAAGTCAATGGGGTATTCAAACGAGGACTCAGAGTTGCAAAAGGTTAAAAGGAAAATAATGTGCGTAAGAAAACTTTATTTGTGTGAACTCTCTGTTGCAGATTTGCCAACCACGAGAAGTCTAAGAAGCACAAGGAAAACGTGCAGTTCCTCAAGGAGGCAATGCAGGAGGAGGAGGCACAGTTTGCTGGCACAGCAGCTCAGCCTGAAGAAGTTAAAGGTCAAGATGCCGAAAGTCAAGATGCCACTGCGGAAGGTCGAGATGCGGGAGACAGCATGGAAACAAAGCCACCGAAAACAAAACATAAAAAGAAATCTCGAAAGTAAAAATTCATTCAAATTTTGAGAACATCATGGCTTCTGGCTTGTGTGTGATGGTTTCTTGGTGATTGCCATGGGTATAGCTCCATTTGTCAATGGAACTCTAGAACTCACCAGTACTGCACAAGTGTGCCCGTTAGTGCATACCATGTTGAGCTGTGTGTTATTGCACTTGCTCGGTGCAAAGGTACTGTACTAGGTTTCAGATTGGCTTTACAGAAATGAATTGTATATTGCTACTAATTTCTACCCATCAGGGATGTGATCATGTGCGTGCACATGCTCCTGTGTTACTTCTCATGAGAAAATTTTTATCGTATCTACAAATTGTTCCCTTCGAACATTTGCTGAATCTCGGGTTATTGGAGGCCTAGTTACGGACACTCAAATTGCATTTCGTTGCTTTGGGTATGACTAGAGGAGAAAAAAAGGCTTTATTGATGCAATCAACTTGTTACAACTTTCAACTGCAGCTATAATCAGATGGTTACATGCTTGTTGGTGTGTACCTATTTGAAAACGTTTTTTTTTTGTGTGTGTGTGTGAGGATTCCCATAGAACGCAAAAATGTTTTTGCATCTTTGCGGTTCTCGAAAGTGCCAGTATATATGACTATATGAAGTTAACAGGTGATGAATCCAAGAGCAGGGGGTGGCCGAAATTACGTGTTAAAAGGTTAAAGATTTAAGTGGATGAATAGAAAAAAGTGCCACCAGTGGGGGCTACACCTGCAACCTTCGCTACGCATGCAACGCTCTGCCAGCTGATCTGTGGTGGCCATACTCATACATGTAATATGTAATACTGGGAGTGTCGGCCAGTGCCTTTTGTGGACTTGACGTATTCATGCGGGATGTGAGAGTTTATTGGTAAACTGGCAATAAATCTTTGCAAAAAGAGTGTTCCACACTTGCTCTTGTGGTTTTGAGTAGTGCTGGCTAATTAGTTGATGTTCACACGCACGGAAATACCCAGCGAAGTCGATTGGAGAGCCATCCTAGTCCAATTGGTGGGGTATCCAACGCATTTCTTGAAGGTTATAGGTTCAACATGTCCAAATCGGTGGTAAAGTTGCTCTTTTTTCCCCCATACTTGGCTTCTTCGTTTTTTGATTCGTTAGGTTGTGTCTAATGGGCCATTAATCTATTGCCGTTCTTTTGTACGCATGACAGCAGACATAAAACATTCGTCATGAGCCAGATAGCGTCATATACTCTGTGCTCCCATACGACAAAAAAAAATTAAAAATTACACCATCTCCCACTAAAGGAAAGGGGGGGGGGGATGCGAAGCAGCGCTGGCGTTTACTTGTGTTTCCATTTGTATTGTTTTATTTGTATGTTTCCTTGTGTTTTTCATTTGTGTGTAGAGTTGTGTTTATGTTATGTTCCACTCAAGTTACCTCCCTTACATTTATGTGTATTACCATGTGCGTGCTGCAAAGTGAACACCCAGCGCTACTAGGACAGTGCGACGGAGCGAGTGGGTGCAGCGTTATACAGGGTGTCCCACGAAAGATTAGCCAGGGTTTAAAAATATGCCAGAACACATAATTACGATTAGACCAAATACATGTTGCTCACCATTGCCTAGAGTTAGGCTATCTTTTGTGTTCTCAAATATTGTTTAATTTGTTCTGTTTAAATAACTTAATTCTAAAGGAACGAAGATGCATAAAAAGTTTCAATGAGAAAGTCATAGATCGGTTCGCAAATCGTCCAAATAAATAGTTTTGAATTTTATATCTGTTAATTATAGTGTTTTTTTTCTGCTAATTACAATCCCCACGAATTACAAAAAAAAATACCACGTGACAAACCCACTTGTGCACCATTGTGCACAGTGGTTCTAGTGCTCCCTAATGTTCTGCATATGAACTACCATAGCATTTGCCCTATTGTGCTGTCTCGGCAAGGGCGCAACGATAGTGGTGGCTTTACGATGAACACGTTTTGCTATCAGCCACCAGAACGATAACCGCTGTGACTGCTCATCTCAGTCGTGAACCGGTGTGAGGAAAGCGTGTCGTTCGCACGCGGAACATTAGGGAGCACTAGAATCGTTGTGCGCACTGACGCGCAAGTGGGTTTGTCTCGTGGTATTTTTTTGTATTTCGCGGGCGTTTGTGATTGGCAGAAAAAAAAATCGCCAGATCCCACGTACAGAGGGAATCGTTGATATGCGAAGCACGGATGAGAAATGTTGATATGTCACTTTAAAATCAGCACAACGTTACGCGGTGGCGGTAAATGATGTCGTATATGACTTCAGTGTCAGGATGATCATGTTTGGATGTGTCGTTTACCTTCGTCATCTATTCACGTCACACGATACCACACTTAGTATAAATGAAGCTAGCGAAACGGCCGCGAGCACGCTATGAGCGTGGTATGTTGTTATGTTCATACATGATTATCATGTTTGCACCAATAACATATTTCTTCATCCATTGACGTCATGTAACACTAAATTTGGTATATGTGGGGCTATCAAAACGGCTGCGAGCGCATCATTAAGGGCTCAATATACTCCAATGCAGCGTTGACGCGCGTGCACGCTGGGCACAGCGACGCTGCGTTAACAAAACGGGAGCACTCTATAGTCTCACGCCAGGTGCGACCAGCGTTCGTCGGCACGGCCAGACGGCAACCGGCACGAAATGCGACATGCTGTATTTCGCCCCAATGCGTTACCCAGACAACACTGCGTCTCCATCTTTTCGCGACGGAGGGATACCGGATGCGCTGTAACGAGCATGTGTCAAAGCAACACAGTGCGGCGCGCGTATATATCAGGACAAACGCCTGGCATGGCAACGCCGGCGTGACGCGACGAAATGAACGCCGGCGAGCACGCGCACCGCATAACGTCGTAAAGTATTGGCGCCTTGACTGTAGCATGTAGTCATGTTTTCACATGCCATGCTTCTCATGATTTTGTTTGCACCAGTCACATACCTTTGTCATTTATTGGCGGCACGTAATACCAAATTTTGCATGTGTGAAGCTAGCGAAACGGCCGCGAGTCCATCATCAGTATGGCATGTAGTCAAATTTTTACTTGACACGCATGTCGTGATTGTCATGTTTGGATGTGTCATTTACCTATGTCGTTCGTTCGCGTTGCGTAAAAATACGGAGTTTGGTACATGTGAAGCTTGCGAAAGGGCCGCGAGCGCATCATGAGTGTAGCATGTAGTCATGTTGTCACATGACACGCATCTCATGTTTATCATGTTTGCACCAGTATCATACCTTCGTCACCCATTCACGTCCGTAATATCAAACTTGGTATCCAAGTGAAGCTAGCGAAACGGCCACCTGCGCATCATGAGTGTGGCATGTAGTCATGTTGTTACATGATTATCATGTTTGCACCAGTCACATACTTTTGTCATTCATTCATGTACTGTAATACCAAATTCGGTTTATGTGACACTTGCGAAACGGCCGCAAGCGCATCATGAGCATGGCATGTAGTCATGTTGTGCTACATGACACGCATATGATGATTTTCATGTTAGGGTCTGTCACTTGTGTTCGCCTTGCAATCATACCGTACCAGTTTTGCAACATGCCATGTGAACTAAACCACCGCAAAAGCTGCTAAACGATGAAATTTAAATCACGACATTCATGACTTACATGTCATGATTTTCATTTTATGTATAGTCAAATATGTTCTTCATGCAGTCATGGGATGCCATACCTAGTTTGGAATTGATACCATTATCAAAACGGCCAGGAGATCTAAAAGTCGTAGCTAGCTAGCTAGCTAGATAGATAGATAGATAGATAGATAGATAGATAGATAGATAGATAGATAGATAGATAGATAGATAGATAGATAGATAGATAGATAGATAGATAGATAGATAGATAGATAGACAGACAGACGGACGGACGGACGGACGGACGGACGGACAGATAGATACGCTCAGTCACCGAAGTTCACTACGAAATGCTTCGTATTTAAAACACTAATAATTAACAGATATAAAGGTCAAAACTATCTATTTGGGCGTTTTGCAAACTGATCTACAACTTTCTCATGGAAATTTCATCTTTGTTCCTTCAAAACTATTAGTTAATTAAACAGATATAATAAACAATATTTGAGAACGAAAAAAAAAATAGTCTCCAGGCAACAATGAGCAACATGAATTTGGTCGCGTCGTAATTACGTTACAGTGGCTGGAATAATTACGTGTTCCGGCATATTTTTAAACTCTGGCTGAAGTCACCTGGGACACCCTGTTTACCTCTCTGCCACAGCTGCTCATTCTATACGAGCGTACAACTGTGGCAGAGAGGTAAAACGGGAGAGTAGAAACGAAGCGGAGGCAGCGTCTGCCATTTCCTTGCACTCACGGAAGGAAAGGCGGAGAGTTGGCGCATGTGCAGTGGGAGAGCGGATGGTCACTGAGGGACGGACATAGGCCCGAGCAAAAGCTGCTTTGTATCTTTTAAAAATGAAAAATCGCAGCATATCCACGGAATGAACGATGATGAGTGGGGTGAAGCGTCCGGCCGCTTGTCTGTCTGTCTGATCGTCCGCCCGTCTGCGTACTCGTCTGCCTGGCTGGTTACGCCTCACGCAGGACATGCTTAGTTTAAGAGAAGCTTCACCCTTGAAAAAAATGGCTGTGGCTTAACTCAATTATGCCTGGGTGAGCGTAGCGAGAGGTGCATTGCTCGGCGTATCATACAGAGATGGCAGAGTGATGCAGTCCGTAGAGCTGTGCGCCTAGCCGCCAATGCGACGCAGCTGAACGACGTGAAGGCTTGCCGTGTGACGGACCATGTAATTCGGCCCGCTGCCTCCTCTTGGTTTAATTCCGAGGATGATGCTTGGCTTCATTCAATATCTCCAACCCGCTTTGCATATCTGCTGACGAATGCCACCAAGCCGGCTCTTGCTCTGTTGCAACGCAGTTTCACCGGCTCCTTAAGGCATTAGAGTTCTCCGATTGCAGTTTATTAATCTAAACAGGGTCTTCCTTTCTCTTTTGTGTCCCTTTAAGTTAATTAATGCT